TTCAAAGAGTAGGAAGTATTGAATAAGGCAAGGTAAGTCATAGCTTATTTTTTTTACATCTCAGTTTGTCATCTGCACRATAAGATGATAAGGCATCATCATTTATCACTGGTGATGTTATGAAACAAAATTAGTTATCATTTGCAAAACTATAGCTTACAATGACGATCACCATGGCAGGAAACGTGATAGGAAAAAGCAGTTTGTTTTTCACAGAAGAGTTTGTGGTGTTTAGAGTAAATACGGCACAGAGATTTACAAAAATTTACAATGCACTTCTGTGCATTGAATAGAGCTCAGTTTCTGATAAATAAAATAAAATAAAATAAAATAAAATAAAATAAAATAAAATAAAATAAAATAAAATAAAATAAAATAAAAGCAGTGTGTGGTCATGTGACTACAGACTGACCAAGAATAGGCAGAAGGGTACTGAAGCACTTTACAAAGTCATATGTAACATGAGAATTTTCTGTCTGTCTTTATATACATTTTCTATTACAAATTACCAATGTTTAATCATGACTATAGTACTCATAACTTTCTAAGGAGATCTTTTTTTCCCCTAGTGTAGATCGTTTTTTTCCAAGTAAATTCTTGCTTCTTGAGTGCTTAAAAGAGCTTAACAAAGACTGTACATATCCTGAAAGGAATTTACAGATCCTGGAAGGGATTCATTAAGTATAAGATAATGTACAATTCTGTGACAGATTTAACTTTTTCTAGTATATAGTTCACAGAGAATTCACTGAGACTCTTACATCCCAATATATTCTTTTTGAAAGGCTGTTACAATATATATTGTTTAGAGCAATKGAACTGAAAGAGGAGCAAGTGTAGTTGTTATTTAAATTTATAATTTTGTTGAATCTGATAAAGATATATAAGGCAATGCAAGTATTTTATCATTTGAATTGCTGCCTTCRCAACAGGAAAGGTAAAGAAAACAGTCAAATGTGTTTGTGTCTTGGAATAAAAAATCCAAATATATTTTTGTATTTGTGTGTGCATTTGCTATTTTTAGGAGATGTGAGGCACAGTTGGAGGTAGGAGGATGGATTAAAAAGGGATTTCATATTCTTGGGAATTTCTGTTTCATGGCCAAAAGTTCTTGGCAGCATTTGTGCATGAAATGTTAAACTGAATTTGCTGTCTCAATCCATAAGTAAAAGTAGAAGGTGTTTGCTGTGAATTATTTGCTGTTTGATTTAGTTAACCTTTTAGGAAAATTGATTTGGAATCCTAGTCAWAATGATTGGAATTTTTGTTTACATTTTAGAGTTTTTTTTATTACATTTGTGCAATTGTATTCTTCCCCATCTCTGGAACACTTAAAGCAGTGTAAGATCACCTTTCCTTTTTGTAGAATTCTTTGGCACACAAAACATCACATTATGAAATTCTTTTTAATGTCTTCCTCTCTTCTCCATCTGCAAATAGCAGCTATTTCTGTGAAACCTTGGTTAACTTAGTTTTAGTTTTAGAAGTTGGCTTTGTCAGCTGATTTTGTGTGGAAGCGATAGAAGCCATAGTACTTTCTTTTTTTTTTTTTTGATGAACAATCACTCTTTCTTTTATTCTTTAGGTACCTGAAGCACTCACCCAATCACTTACCACATTCCAGAATTCCAGATGGGAAATGATGGCTAAKGGCACAAAAGCAGAAAACCAGCTCTTAGCTAATAGTCATTGTGAGAACTTTGAGAGCAAATCCAGAGTAGGAAGCTTAAACTGTTCTCAGTCCTGAACTACTTCGAATTTAGAATTAAATTCTTATTGGAAAATACTAGTGGACTTCAGATGAGCTTTAATAAAAGCACAGCTCTAGAAGCTTCTCACTGAAATGTATATGTTTCTAATGCATTTCAATGTAGATTCAAACATGTGAGTTGAAAACCCTTGAAAGCAGCTTAAATTCACCTGTTTRGCTCCATATGGAAACAGAAATGAGGAGCTAATAACAGGGTTAGTATTAGCTGGGGGGTCTAAAATAACTTGTAATTGAGTAAGCTCAAGGGCCTGTGTAGGCATACCATCTCTTATTTACATCTTTTGTGAAACTAGAGGAGAAAGACTGGTGTTTTTTTTTCACTCTAAGCAAGTTCTTTTCAAATACACTTATTTTATCATACATTCTCATGTTCAAGAATTCATTATTTGTGTTTAACCTTTTTCTTCCAAAAAAAAAAAAAAAAAAAAAAAAGGAAAAAGATCTGCTGTATTATTTCTCACAGTTATGTTAGGAAGGTGGCCAATTTCATCTGTTCCAGATCTACATGCAAGTTTGTGACAAACCTCTAAATGCATTGTTTTTCTCTTCTATCCAGTGAATGAATCCAGTAGGATTTTAGATATGATCATGTAACACGTATTTTATACAGAGCCCACAAAATGGACCGAAGTAATTCACAACTCAGGAAGTGGTCTCCAGTTTACACCATATCGCATGACATTCTCTTTTTCTTAGGTGAAAGTGGCCATACTTATGTGTATTATATACAAATAACATGTGTTACATGTCTTAACTAATAATTTATGTCATGTAAATAGGCCTTTCGTTCTATAAGAACCAGACACACTGACTTGCTGGCTAATTTTCTGAAAAAGAAAATTGATTTCCTCCTCTCAGAAGTGTCTCTTGGGTTGTTGTGGAGATGCTTTTATTAGCACAGGGCAATATAAGTCAGGACTGTCTTGACAGTAGAATTGCATTAGGTTTTATAACTTAGAGAGTTCAGTAATCCAAGCTAACAACCTAGCTTTAGTTTGGGTTTTTTTTTTGGGGGGGGGGTTTTGATTATCTGATTATGTATTTTGGATGACTTTAAAGTGTCTGGAGGAGTATTTGTTAAAATAAACAGTTTGAAATGTTGGAAACCTACCCAAATACAGTACAGAAGAATTCAGGCTGTGCCTTGGATGAAAACGAGACTTAGCTCTGTCCACACTGTCTCTTCGGAGACAATATTTATAGCTGAAGCTGGCCTCCAAATATGGTATTTCCAGTTCCAGGAAAACAGTATTTGGGAGAAGATGATGGAGTTTTTGTTTAAAATTTAGGTATGGTTGAAAAGGAAATGAAATGAAATACTTCAAATTTCCGGCAGGCTGGAAATTCCAGTGTTTTGGGAACACCCAACAATGCTCTCTTTCCAAAGTCAAATTGTGTTCCCAGACCCCTGCAGCTACTCAGTGGACCCGACACACCTGGCAGTCTCGTTGCTACTGTGGCATCTCAGAACCTGCATCGTCTTGATACCACCCTCTGTAGAGTTGGGCTTGCCTCAGCCTTTTCCCAGGGTTTATAATTCAGAGTGTCTACGGGTCAGTGAGGAACCTGGGAGCATAGACACCCCCTAACTCCAAAAGGGCTCTCAGCRTTTCCAGACTCTCCAAGGAAGCACTTAGAAGCGAGTCTTAGCTGCAGACTCAGAAGCAGGATTTTCACAGTGGACCTGGGAGATTTGACATAAAAGTCTTTCCTAAGACCAAGGTCCTGAATTTTGAAGCATTCCAGCTTTGAGGCAGTCCTAAGGCCGTAGACCCGGTAAAGAAAGGGATCCCTCCATCTGAGCAAATTCAGCTCAGAGTTCATATAGGGTTTCATTAGAATATGGCCCAGACTTTCATGGAGTTGATTAAAATTAAGGGATTTTAATTTTTAGAAGTTTGGGGTTAAAAAACATGAACTTTCCTCTGGTCTCATTCACTTTTCAGCAGCTTTTTTTCAGGTGTATTTCTGCCGTTACTGGGACCTTTGGAAGCAGCAAGCTGTAAACCTGAGTTTTCTGCTACTGCATTTCTGTCCAGTTACCTTTAACAGATCTCGGAACAACTGAAACGACTGGATAGAGTTGCTGCACTTTGGAGGAGAGTATTGGCAGTTCCTAAAAGTATCTGCCASAGCTGCACAAAGAGGAAAAAAATCAAAGGTTTTCTATTTGGCCATAGGTTTTGTTCCAGAGAAGAGAAAGGCTTTGGAGTTACAAGCAGTCTTGGTTGGCAGAATAGCTTCCTCAAACCTGCTATTCACTGAAGAAAATTTGAGTAGTTCTGAAACTGCTTTAACTAATATGAAAGATTAGTTCAAGACACAGGAGGTAGAGTGAAAAGCCCCCAAAAAAGTTGCATTTGTGCGTTTCCCCTCATAAAAGCTGAGAACTCCCTTGGGATCCTGCAAAGCTAATCCGCAGTCTGTTGGCTTAAACTCCAGCATAAATATTGCCTTCTCCTTTGTCTTTCCTATGCTTAGGAACTCARTTCATTTTATTAGTAAAGATGAGATTTTTACAACAAAACAGGTCATTTCTGAATGAAAAATGGCTCTTCACTGGAGTCCTTTTGTGTTCAGTCCTAGGATGCTGCTTCTCCTCCAACCTCATTTTCAAAGCTGTGTTTCCTAAATAGTGGGGCAAAGATGATTTCAATAGGTAGCCATACTCAAAATAGCCCATTTCTGAAAAGGTTAAATAACTAGCAASGGCTTCAGTGCCCGTCAACCCAATCCATACAAATCTATCTGACATTTATCTACTGACTTAGTTACTGAAAATCATTAAACTCAGTTTCATTTTTGTAATTTMTCTCTCTCAGATAACAAACTCCGCATGTCCTGCAGTCCTATCCCTGATTGTAATGGAGGTATATTTTAGGAATTCTCATACCCACTTCATACTTTCCCTTGTGTTTTAAGGAAGATTAACTACTTTGATGTTCTGAGACCAGTTCTGTTTTAGAACAAAAGATCATTTTCGGTGTTTTTTTGAAGTAAATGTTTGTTTGGTTTTTTAATCTACTTCTTAATTTTCTTTTTCTTTTCTAGGAAATATTCATACATACTTAAAGGTAGCTTGTGCACTGTATATTTATTTCTCTTAATAATTAATCTTGCTGTTTTGAAATAGAATTTAGGTAGACAGTGTTTTGCAGTCATTATAGTATCTGTACAATATATATGGAGTGGATGGAGTGTTTTTCTTGATTTTTGTTTTTCTTTACAGGCTCACGAGGCAGCACTGGAGGCTAGGGCCAGCCCCGAGCTGAGTGACCGTATGCAACAGCTGGAAAGGGAGGTAGCTCGGTACCGGGAAGAATCTAGCAAGGCTCAAGCTGAAGTAGATCGTCTTCTAGAAATCTTGAAAGAGATGGAAAATGAGAAGAATGATAAAGATAAGAAGATAGCAGAACTGGAGAGGTGAGAATGGTATATGGTTACCAGAGGAGCAAAAGAGCTGTCCAGAGTTAAATTATCCTTTCTTCTCTCACAAACCTCAGAGTTTGGGGGAAAATGTGTTCAGAGTTTTTCTACCTCAGTCCTTTTATTTCGTATTTATAAGTGTTAAGATGTCATACTGTGTACTTTCTTTACTTGTTCAAAAAGTAGGGCTGGCGTGGATGAAACTAGAGGAGGAGAAGGAGCTGTAAGGGAGTGGAGATGGTAGGAAAAGTTGCCAGCACTGCAGTGTGTTTGGAAAACAATTTGGTTGTCCAATTCAATACATTCCTCAGGTATTATTCTCCAAAAAACAAGCAGAGAAAATGACTTTAAAAGGCTTGGAATATTAGTTAAACAGGTTCCTGAAAAATGGCAGTGATTCTCTTTGTGCTGGTAGAGACACAGCTTGTGTAAAGCTGGATGAATGGATTCACTTTCATCCAAACCAAACCATTCAGCACGTTTTAATATTCTCCATCTTCCTGTTGGAGCCACAATGCTCTGATATTTTTTAGGCGTTAATTTCACAAACAGCAATGATAGTGTGTTTTGATTCTACATCATATGAATCACAATCCTAGCACATCTTGGGAAAGGCTTGAAACAGGCTTATTTTTCTGAAACTTGCTATGTGCCAAGGGGGAATTTCAAAGTAGAATTACSTGTAGATTTTTGTGTTTACTGTACCATTCTCTAAGAAGAATCACTAACCTGGAACAGCGAAATGGAAATGTGGTTATTTCCATTTGCCTTGTGCCAGAGGAGTCTTTCCAACTGTTAGCCTGTCACATTTAAACTACACTACATTTTAGTGTCAGGAAGTTTGTGGGAGTAAAGGACGTTTCAGGCACTTCATTATGCCCGTAGAACTGTTTGTTGACTTGCTGATAGCCAAGTTGTGGGCTCCTCTGCAAAAAACAAAAAAGGATTTTTTGAAGAAGTTTTGCTAATACTCAGTCCACCTTCAGGAATCTGATTTTSTATTTTTACTAAACACAGGGAAATAAATAACTGCTAAGTCCAGGTACCTCTTCTAATTCTTTTCTTCTGCCTCTGCTGTATGCCTTCATATTCTTCTTTCTTCATCCTGTGGAAGGAAAGCCTAATGATGAATCCACTGGGAAGAAGACTCTGAATGTGCTAACTGAAATCAGAGCAGTTAAATACACTGTGATGAACCTACTGGATTAAATTATTTTACCCACCCATATCATTTGATAGGATGCGTTCTTCTTTTCTTGAAGGTGACGGTGCTCTAAAACAGTAAAGCCTGACAGCTAAGTTTTTTTCTCTCTTTGTGATTGTAAACAGCATCCTGTTAATTTTCTTTATTATTTTATTTAATAAAAATTCTCTACAACCATAGTATAAGCTTAAATACCTGAAACTGAAGGTATGTCCTCTTTATCTAAATGATAAAACTTTCAGTCCTTAAATATATTTTCTATTCAGCAGAACATTTACACAATAGGTTGATAGACTAGATATGTTTAAGTATAGCCATGAGGAAAGTTAAATAGCAGTTCTRTGTCATACTTTTCTGCATAATTTGCCAGATCCTGTTATGAAGCCCATCTCACACGTAGACTTCACTATGTTACCATCCTAGGGCATGCAAGCTGACTAGGGCTCAGGGAATAAGCAACAAACTTCTAATAGAAATCATGTATGAGGAGGAAGTGTATTCTTAGTGCTTTGKTTTTTTTCTATACAGAAGAGCAGTTGTCTGTTTAGGAAAAGCAAGTTGGAAATACTAATCCCTCTACACAACCTAATCCCTAGAGGAGACTRTAATGGCAGGAAGAGAATTTTATGATATGCAGTTTTTTGATACAAGTCTGATTTTTTTGTTACGTTAGCCGTCCTATTCAAGATTGGGACCTGCAGCATCAAGCACTGAATGGGTGCATGTCCATAGTGTGTAATCAAAGAGTTTATAGTTTACAAATCAAAAATAAAAAAGAAGGGAAATGAGACTGATCCTTTATCTCTTTGAAAGATAAAAGCATTGGCACCGAGACTTTATAAAGCAACTTCTGCTTTGAGAAGATGCAATTCCAACAATGTGTGCAGCGTATATTACATTTTTTTTTTCATGTTGTAGTGGTAGTTTCTTGCTATTTAATGTCATAGACCACACTCTTGCTATATCGATTAAAGCATAAAACCCAGAAATAGCTAGACATCATTCCATAACATTTTTTCGGAAAACTTTTAACTATTCAGCACTACCCATTCCTTCTTACCACCTGATCTTTGCTGTTCTAAAAGGAATAGAAACCAGTGGCTCTCTTCTCTTTTTAGTTTATTCTCTTTTCTRCCAGTGTTGAGATTAAATAGAGTATTTCTTACTGCTAGTAATTTGAACAGGTGGGGTTCTAGTGCACCAGTTTTCTGTGTTCTTTCAGCTATATCAAAGAAAAGATTATTTTTGTGATCATGTGGCTGCCTGTGTAAAATAAGAAACAAAGATCTAAGAACATTGATGTTCTCTCAGCCTGCTAAATAGGTATGGAAAAGATCTGACAGGTCTAGAGGCCTAAAATGAATAGTGTGAGTGTGGTGAATTAGTAAAGTATCAATTCCCAACATGGTTTTTCAGGTGGACCTCTAATATAATCACAACACTGGAAAAGAGGTTTTCAAGACTTTAGGTACTTTATGATGAGGTTTTGACTAATAACTTCTCATTTTCTGAATAGCTGCAGAACTTTCTCTTTGGCCTTACTTGTTTTCATCTGCTTCCATGTCCTCCTGTTCTTTCTTCTTTCTTCTTCTTCTTGAGTTTTTATACATGAATTATGTTATTATTTATACATGCTCTCTGATGCTTCCACAGCAGATCAAACTCTTTCGTATAAAAAGGAACCTTGTGCTGGCAGACCCATTTGTAAACATGCAAGAGTGAATATAGCTGCCTCTTGTACAGACTCTTACTGTAACACATAGAGCAAGATGAGAAAAAATAAATCATGTTCTGAGATGAAATGTATTCATGAAAAAGCAAACTTTTGTGAGAAAGCATCCCGCCCTGGCATTTTTCCTTATGCTAGTTTTAAATCACAGCTAGACCATATGTCATGAGGAGAAGAGAAATAATAAGATGGCTTTATCCATTGAGGGGAAGAAATGAGCCAAGTGTCAGGGAATTATGCTCAAGTAAACATAGAGAAGGAGAAAGAGAGAAGGAAAGGATAGGATGAGAAGATGAAATGAAAGCAGAAGACTGCTGTCCTAAGCCTTTTTAAGGAGGACAAAGCTGCCTAGGGTTCAGATTAAAATAAAGAGGAAAATGCTCTCACTTCTCAGTAACTATTCCAATTACTGTCTGAGGGAGGGTTGTTTTTTAACTGTGGATGGGGTGAAAGATGTCTGAAAGTCATGTGTTAAATGCAGTGCCTGTGAAACATGCTCTAGGTCTGCAGACTGAAAGCACCAACTCATTGATTTGTGTTCTATGTGGGTAGGATTTTGCTTTCCTGTTATGGGGAGATGGGCTCTAAATCTGCATCTTCTCTCCGGGAGTTGGATCAGTTTTGTTTCCGTCTCTGACTGTGGTGCTGTACAGAGTGTTGTAGATACCTGCCGACTCCCTTTCTCTTAACTAACTGTTTGCTTTTTGTACTGGCATTCCATACTCTCCATCTGTAACTTCTCCTTCTGTGTTCCGTTTCCCTCCTCACTTTTTCTTTCCGTTTCTTATTGTCTTGTTTTGGATCCATGAGTTTTTTGGTTTGTACGTGTGTTTTTCTGGTCTCGTGTGTGTGTTTCCCTTTTGACGGTGCCTTTCCGCAGAAAGCACGCCTCCCGCCAAACGCACCCTCCCTACCAGGTGTCAGTCCCTGCACCGCAGCACCTAGGGGGGTTTGTGTGGGACTTCCTGGGAAAGTGAGTGTTAAATAAGGCTATTGTTTCCTAGCGAGATGAAATGGCACTGCTGGCTGCCCGGGTGCTGTTGCTGCTGCTGCTCTCTGATTCTGCTGCTATACGCTTTATATATATATATATATTTATATATGGGTTTTTTTAGAGTAAACTGAATCTAGTTGTGTCGAGTATGTCTGTGTGTTCAATACCTGTCACACTGGTTATGACCACAGTCCCAAGCAGGCTGGCTGCTCCCCACCATGATTCAAGTTTTGCAGAGGCTGTTSCTTTTCATTGCAATGTTCTGCTGTGGTTTGGGTGTAATCACTGCTATCAATTCTGTGAGAACCAACTAAAACTCAAGCACTCTAAGATGTTTTATTGACAGAGGTCAGCATTGCCCTCATCCCTACATCTCTCTGTGATTATTATCCTGCAGTGAAGAGGATAAAAAAGGATGTCTGGCATATGGCCACCACGGTCTTTATACAAGTAGTTTAGACCCCGATGAATTCGTATGTGTGATTTTTTTTCTCCAAATACAGTAAGTAACTCAAATGAGACTTGAATTGAGTATCTCCACTATATATTGATAGGAATTACTTCTAAGGAGATAGGGAACCCTCTTTTTTTCCTGCAGATTAATTGACCTTGTTTCGTTTAGAAACAGTGGAATTGTCCACTTTGGGAATATCATCAGTCCCATTAAGAATAGATGTGCATGGTGGCTATTTTAAGAGACACATTTTGGGGAGTTTTCCTCATTCAAGGATGCCTTGTTCAAGATGAAACTGTCAACTTTTTGATGTTGACAGCCAAAATACATTCCTCATCTTAAATATATCTGATATATCAAATATTCTTAACAGTAAATAAAGGATTCAGAAGTCTAGGGTGATCTAGACAGAATGGTGAAAAGTGAGAATAGCAGAAGGGAGTATCTTGTTCTGAATGTCTATTAGCTGATGATGTGTTTGTGTAGTGGTCTGTGAAGGGTAGAGGAAGAGAGAAATTAACTGTATGCTCAAGGAGCTTTATGATTTTCTAGAACAGTGTAAAGGAAGCAGTGCTATTAAATTATGTCCTTTGCTTGTCAACAATTTGGAGTTGAA